AGTAAAAACCACCAAAATACAAATAAAAGCTCACAAAACACAAGAAGTGTCTAATGAAATATCAAGAATACAAATAAAAATACGAATAACCAACAAAATCAGAAGTCAAACAAAGCAGCTAGAGAAGCTCTATAGATAAAAATTAAAGTAGTTAAAAATCCACCCGCATAAAATTCATGCTAGAAAAACTGATGATATTTAGTGAAAACGAACAATTTTTTGAAACTTTAATTATTAAGAAACTATATACATAATGATTGAATCCCGTGGCATCTCAATTACACTTTAAAAGATGATAGATCCTATCCTTCCCTTTCCTTCAACTAAAACATGTGTAATAAATTTTTTTTTAAAAGATAATAATAAAAAGAATAAGAGAGAAAATATTTGAGAGGGATAGAGATAAATTTTTGAAGGAGATAGTTGGAAAAAATAAGAGTGGTAGGAGAGGATCTAAACCCCTTTAAATGCTACAACCATTACATCAGTTAAACATTATATATTACATTAGTTTTGTTCAAGTTAGACAAATTCGATTTTATCTAAATTTGATAAAGAAAGTGAAGATTAAACATGCTTATAGAAAGACAAATTTGTGTGCCGATAAATTAGTTAAAGTTGGGATCAACTGTGAGCTTGATAAGGAATTTGGATTAAATTTTTTAGATTTCATTGCAGAGATTAACATTGTTGTTAATGAGGTAGATAGTGATAGTAATCATGAGTAGTTTGTTTTTCTTTTGGACGTAACCCTCTTTATAATTAAAAAAAATGCTGTATTAAATAAATTTAATCATTTCAATTTTTAAAATTTATATTTGGATTAATAACATTTTTTCTCCTTGTCATATATGCAACTTTTGATTTTTCTATTGTAAACAGAAGTTATAAAATTAATCTTACCGCATGAAGATTCTATCGTTTAAGACCTTATGAAAAAATAGTCAGCAAAAGCGCCTATTTAGCATACAAGGATTGAGTATTTTTGATATTTTTATTTTTAGTTATGCTAATATGATGACATGAATTTATTATTATTATTTTTTATTTATTATGAATTCCACGCGATTTTTTCTTTTTCTTTTTTTTAAACTTTGAAACCATAAAAGACAAAAATATCAAAAAGTAAAATTTAATGAAAATTAAACTCAAGAACTCTCCCTTATATACAAGCCTCCTACCACTTGATCACACTTATTCTTTTATTAATGTTTCTCATTTAAATGTATATATTACAAAACTATATAAAATTATATTAAATAGGAATTATTAAAATAATAAATTGAAATTATTAAATGATCTTAATGCATCATTTAATTCTTTAACTTTATGAGTTGCTTCACTTTGGTCCCTTTAGAAAAAAAATGTTATATTGTGGTCCGTTAACTTCACTTTTGTTAAAATATTTGGTCCTTTCCGTTAATTTGTATTGTAAGAACGTTAAAAAATGTCAGGATGGACTATTTACATCTGACGTGGAATTTTAATATTTCTGGAAAATGGTTAAAAAAATGTCATGTTGTATATCGTTGAAGTTAAATAAGAAAGGCATGAAGCTCAAAGGTTAGGGCAAACGAAGACATCTCTCTAAATAGGGAAAACTCCATAAAAAACGATAACACCATCCTGTTTCATAGACCAACTCCATTGAAGACGATAACAACAATAGTTCCACAAACTAATGTCATTGAAGACGATACCAACTTTTTTCTGGTTACGACTAAGGTATGGTTTCTTACCTGTAACCTACTAAAAATGTGAACTTTTTTTAGCCATCTTCCTTAGTCTTTTTGCTATATTATGTAGGTTGAATATGTAATGAGGAAGATGTTTAAGTGTGTTGCTCATCATTCTGGTGAATTTTTCAGGGAGTTTGCTAACTGCACAAAGTCAGGATATCAAGGGTTATAGACCATTTGGGATTTTGATCTGGATTATTGGAGCTACTTTGAAATTTTAGGGATATTAAAAAATTGAAATTATCCAGTTGTAGATAGACTTTGGTATTACGATAAAATGGATGTTTGTGATATTGTGTTGTTAGAGGATGACAAGGGAACTAAGAGAATGCATACAGTTGCAGTATTGACTGAGGAATGTCATTTATATGTTTCTCATCATGTTTCACATTCTGACATTATTGATGAACCAATTCTTTCATTATGATTAGATGATGAAGTTGTTGTGGATGTGGAAGCTAAGTTTGGAGTTAATGAAATTGATGTGGGGACCACTGTGGTGCAAGATAGTACAAATGTGGGAGCTGGGTTTGAAGTTAATGAAATTGATACAAGGACCACTGTGGTGTAAGATAGTACAAATCTGGGGACACATGTGGGTGATGAGGGGGAAAACTGTGACATTAAGGAGAATGTGGGTGATGAGGGGGCAAACTGTAACATTGCAGAGAATGTAGGTGATGAAGGGACAAACTGTGACATTCATATTGTGAAAACAAAAAACTGAATTAGCCTAATCCTAATTGAAATATATTGTTACAAACGCAAGGTTCAACCATATGCTCAACATCCCAACCATAATGGACATTTTCAACCATCCTTTAGTGTGGATAGCCTTATTCTTCAATTAGTTAATTTTCTTCTTTTACCTTTCAAGCTTTAAATGCCTTCCATCAACAAATTTATCACCTAATCACTTGAAGAAATTACACCCCTTGTCCACGTGATTTCTATAATTTCTATAAACCCAAAATTTTCTCCCATAGTTGACACTGTTCAAATGACTAACAATACGAAGAACACAATCATCTTGGCAAAAACATTTCATTCTCTTGTTTCTATGAATCACATATCCAAATGTACCAAAGCTTGTGATTGAAGCACTGCTTGCATTCTTAAGCACTGACGGAAGATGGAAGAATACGAATGCATGATGAAAGATAGAAGAAGGAATATTGAAAATAGAAAACCATGATCCAGATGTATGAACAGTCAAAAACGAAAAAGGAAGACGAACATTGAGAAAACACAAACCCTAAATGGTTTATCACACAACAGTTGAGTGTTAACTTGAATGGTTGCATACATGACATGCCACTCAGCCATACTTAATATTTTTCACCCAAACTAATGGGAGAGACAAAATAGTTTATAGAAAAAGAAGTTAAGATATAATTATGTAATGTATTTAAGTTAGGAGACCAACACAAAACTTCACTTAAAATTAAGGGACCTAGAGACTAATTATGCCTATTAAATTAACAAACTAAAAAATTAAATAAAAATTATTAATATTTTAAGATAATTTTATATAGTTTTGTAATATATACATTTAAATCAAATTATCTTAAAATTAATTAATTTAAAGTTAATATATAGATAAGTATATATTATTCTAAAATATATACAAGAATTATAGATGAGCTAAATAAATTTTAAATTTATTAACATTATATTTCTATATACATTATATTTTTATTTAATGAAAAACTAAAATTAATTTTTGATAATAAAGTGAAACATTTTTAGTTTTTGAAAACATAATACATATTTTTTTAATTTATTATTAAAAAATTAATTTTAAATAATACTTATCCATATATTAAGATAATTTTATATACATATAAATGAGAAACAATGATAAAGGAATAAGTTTTGCTTAGTGATAGGGAGAAATATCATGGGTTCAACTTGCATTGAATTCAACATTTTGATATTTCCACCTTTTATAATTTCAAAGTTTAAAAAAAAAAACATGCGAAATTAAAAATAAATAAAAAATACATAAAAAATAATAATAATAAATACACGTAAGCATATTATTATTAATAAAAATATGATCAGTCAACCCCCGACAATTACACTTTTACTAGTCATTTTTCTATAAGATCTAAAATAATAAAATCTTCATCTGACAAAATTACTTTCCCAATATTTAAAAAAAAAATACTATTAACCCTTTATTTTTTAAAATTGTCCCTTTCTGAAGCAAAGTCCTTTTTGTCATATTGGACATGGATCCAACAAAGATGTTATGTCATTCTTTGTTGATCCTTGGGAGTTAGTGTAGCAATCTTCATCTTTATATAGCACATGAATGACACGTGATAAATTGAGAACTCGCATAAGAAGAGGCTTTGGCACATCATTTGAATCAAGAAGTTCTTCATTCATATCCTTCCAAGCATTTGTAACTTGTCTTGAAAGCTCATCAATTGCATTTTCTCTAGTTACACCATGTTCATTCATGTAGCACTCAATAGAAGATGCAACATGCCCTCTCTTTTGCTCAAACTAATTAAATATAAATAAAACATTAAACATGTATTTTTAGAATATAATAACAAATTGATTAATTAGCTCTTGTGTTTGATTACCTCATTGGAAACAATATCATCCATGAGTCTGCAAATTCTTGATGAAGCATTAACAATTTTTGGGTTATTAGTTAACCATTTGAAAATTTCTTCTGTAGCAATGCATCCCATTCCAATGAAAGATGTTGCTGTGAGTAGATAGTAAGCAGAAGTTACTCTTCCAAGAGCCATGTATTCTTCCATTGTTGGTATGCAGTTTTCACTGAACCATTTGGCCTCACTCAAGTAGGCCTCCACCAATCTTATCATCTGATGTGCACATTAAAAAAGTTAAATATAAAATACTTAGAAAAATGTAACCCTGGGGAAAAAGTGAAGAGTTATAATATTTACTTCATTTTTGACATAATTTACACAAAAAACTCTTCCTTCTTTGACCATCTCTTGCTCTATTTCCTCATAAACATCCAAAAGGGCTTTATAGCAAAATTTCATATATTCTGGTAAAAAATCCATGCAACTTATATCCCACCTAGAGTTCCAATTCAAATTAAGCTTAATAATTAAACTCCCCTACAAAATTATAGTTCAATATTGAAAAGAGAAAAATTCCGAAAACCTCAAACCTTTGAATTGCTTGAGTGAAAAGTTGTAGTTCTTCTATTGTACCATAGTTATCATATATATCATCAATTACTGACGTCAAGGAAATCACCTTGGTCATTATTCTTCTCCCAACAGAGTATTGAGACTCAAAATACACTCCCAATATCCAAAAGTATGCTTCAACTATTCTATTGCGTGCAAAGGGTAGTTTTGTTGCAAAATCCAAATCTTTCCACCACCTAATTATTAATTAAAAAAATTAAAGTTCAATAATCAAATATGTTCCAGTTCCTGCACATCAAAATTTTTTAGATGTTCCATTCAAAAAATAAAGTTAACTTAATGAAAAATAAAGTAAAATTAACACCATAGGTTCCTCCGATAGATATTGAATAAAATGATTTCCCCAAATGTTGGGATGATAATTTGCTGAACGTCTAGATAAATTATTAGTGGTTGGAGGAGGAACTAATGATGATGTTGCTGAAACTGTCATGATTAATTATCGCCTTTGTTTCCAACAATTTTAGACACAAAATGAAGTTTACTAAGTTCAAGGTTAGAAGTTGAGAATAACTTTACGTGTGTGTATATTTATAGGAATGAGTTTAAAATACGTATGTAACAAGAATCGCACAATGAAAGGGGGTTTTCAGTACATACAAATTAAGGATGGTTACTATTCCAATTCCAATGCATTATTGCATTGGATACCATAGTTTTATATTGTGGGGTCACGGACTCGTGTTTGCTATTGCAGTTATTATTGCAATTACTACATGCATATGATGTTTGAATGTTAATTGTAAGGTAGAAATATTCAAAATTAAAGAAATTATTATATCTTAAATAAATTGAATTTTCAAATTCTTAAATGTTTTTTTTTATAAGCAGAATCTATTAATAAGAGATTAAGGAAATCTCAGATCAAAAGAAACAATTATAAGAAGTCGAAAGGAAATTTGAACCAATCATACAAGCTACACTGCTTGCTCTCCTTCCTACCTAGGATCAACCAATTTCAAGAGGAAAGTTTGATGTTGAAAACAATTACATCGACCTCAGTGACTATATTATTGAAAATAAAATCATTTCTAGACCTCCAAATACTCCAGCAGGTAATGAACCAAATAGAATTTATTATGTTCGCTTGACACCGGCCACTAAGGCTCGAGTTCCACACCTTCGCGTGAGGATAACAGCAAGTTTCCGATATTATCTCTATATCCGCCCATTCACAAATCTTGTTCCAAACCTGCGTGGATTTAAAGCACGAGAAGAAGAGATGGGAGACGTCCTCGAAACTATTAGAACAAAACACACAATCCAAATCTTGCTCAGAATCAAACACCTTTCTTTCCAACAAATTAGTTCTAGTTGGCAATCTATCTAGCCCCATTCTCCAGCTGAAAGTTTGAACTTTCGCTGGGATAACCGTCTTTCAGAGAAACTCAAGATGGGAGGCACAATCAGAACCAATATCTTGATCAAAGGATAAGGAAGTTGATGCTGAATGTAAAGAGCTACCACCACCATTTATCGGACTCGTCGGGAATAACAGAAACATTTTCCAGTATATTACAACAATCAGTTCAGTCTGGTTCAGGAGGAAAATCTGAGTCGATCAAAGATTCTCTAATTTTCCAGGTCCACTGTCCGTCCTCCCAGGATCCCATATCCCGAACGTCGCCGACTTCCTAGAACAACTCTGAAACAACCGCCGAAATCTCTTTTTAAACGGCAATTCACCATTCCAAGTAGACTGCCAGAACGCCACGTTGTGGCCTTCACCAACAGAGCAGACCGAAAAAATACAGATATTAGCATGAGAGTTGAATGAAGCGTTGGTCATAATATCCTTCATCCACAACGAGTAAGTTTTCAATTTATCAACGTCGTAGTAAGTTTGCATCTTGATACTCAGGTTGTCGTATCTATTTGTGAGGGTCTTCCTCCAAATTTCATTACCACCAGTTTGGAACCTCCAAAGCCATTTTGCCAACAGAGCACTATTGAACCGACCCACATGCTTAATTCCAAGACCGCCATGTTCCTTAGATTTACAAATTGAATTCCAAGAAACCCAGGGAATGAATCTATTGCTTGAGTTTCCAGCCCATAAGAACCGACGTTGGATCGCGATAATATCCTTCACAACTTTTTTGGGAGCCTTGAAGAAAGGCAAATAATGGATAGGAAGATTAACAATTACCGAGTTAATGAGGGTTACTCTACCTCCCATAGACAGATTTCTCCCATTCCAATTGGACAGTTTGTTCCTCAAGCAATTCAAAACCGGATTCCAAAAAGAGTAGCAGCGATGGTTTCCACCAACAATGATACCAAGAAAACTAAACGGCAACCTTCCGGATTTGCAGTGTAAAATATCTTCAGCAGCCATGAGAAAATCAGGGTCTACACGTATCCCATATAAGCAGCTTTTGGAGAAATTAATTTTAAGACCTGAAATTAATTCAAAAGCAGAATAACTTTGAAAGCCCAAATATTAGACGCCGAGCCGTCTCCTATAAGCAGAGTATCATCAGCGAACTGAAGCAAGCTCACAGTGGTTTGATAATTAATTTTGAATTGAGATAACAAGTTACCGGCAACCGCTGATTTCACCAAACTCGACAGCCCCTCTACAACAATTGCAAACAAGAACAGAGCAAGAAGATCACCCTGCTTTAGCCCCCTGTCAGTCCTAAAACCCTTCGAGGGACTTCCATTGATAAGAATTGACACGTAACTATTAAAAACTGATCCACAGATCCATTTTAGCCACTTAATACCGAAACCCATCTTTACAAGCAATCCATCTAAATAGAGCCAGTCAACATAATCACAGGCTTTAGCAAAGTCAACTTTAAAGAACAGGCAGTCCTTGTTGAATCTCTTAGCATAGTCAGCTAGTTTGTTAGCCAACAGAACGCCATCGTAAATCTGTCGCACCGGGATGAAAGCAGTTTGAGATGGAGAGATAATTTTATGAATAACCTTCCTCAGTCTACAGGTAAGCATATTTGATATAACCTTAAGAACACAGCTGACAAGACTAATAGGTCTGTAATCTTCAAAATGTTGGGGATTTTTAGACTTTGGAACAAGCGAGATGAAAGAAGATGCGAAGATCTTCGGAAGATAACCAGTTTTGAAAACTTTCAGGGTGTAATTTGTAAAATCCTCACCTACTATCTCCCAACAGGATTTGATGAATTTAAAATTGAAACCGTCGACACCGGGGCACTTATTGCCATCACAACTGAAAACAACTTCTTTCAGTTCTGCAGGACAAAAATCAGCTTCCAGAAGTAAGCTATCTTCCTCTTCGAGGCAAGCGATATGTACGAGATCACTACTAAACTTGGACGATTCTTGGCTCTGGTATCTCTCCTTGAAATAATTCACAGCTTCTAGTTTAATGGCCTCAGGGTCTTCTTCAATCCTGTCTCCCACTCTGATAGCAGATAAACAATTCAAACAATATCTGGATTTTAAAGAGTCGTGGAAAAATTTTGAGTTCAAGTCCCCATCTTGTAACCAACTTATACGGGATTTCTGAGCCAGCATGCTTTCTTTGATCCTGAGGTTCTTCCACATCTCCTCCTGATTTCTCAACCTGTCCTTGTTTAAATCTTCATCATGGGATGCTAAAACCAAATCACTGTCCAACTCTAACTTATTAAGGTTAGAAATATTTTCCTCTATCTTTAAATCTAGCCAACCGAAGACGTTGAGATTCTAACTCCAGAGGTCACTTTTCAGAGCATTAAGCTTCTTAATCAGTATGTTGTAATGAGATCATGTGACATGGTACGAGTTCCACGACTGCTTAACAACGGAATGAAATCCTTATGAGAGAACCAACAATTGAAGGACCTGAACGGTTTTGGCCCTCAATTCACAAAGTTAGACTTCAACCACACAGGTCGATGGTCCGACACGTCTCTATCGCCCACCACTTGATTGTTCAAAGATAGCATAGAGATTGCATGATCATCTGCCAAGAATCCGTCCACTCTACTTCTACTATTACCATTGGAGTTGAACCACGTAAACCGGTTGCCAAAAATCGGAAGATCCGTCAAATTCATTTCATCAATAAACTCACTGAAAGCCTTCATATCCCTGCATCTGTTAACGCTTAATCATTTCCTTTCCTCCCCATTCTTCACCTCGTTAAAGTCACCCCCCACGATCCAGCCAACACCTGAGAAGTTTCTTTTAATTTTGGCCAGATCCCTCCACAAATTCCTTCTGTCAGCAGAACCGCAAGGCGCATAAACGTTAACCACAATCAGACTTTGGTTGCTACACAAGAAATGTATGCCCAAGAATCCAACACCACAAAAACTGGAGACAGTTGAGATTCTCGACCTATTCCACAAGGTAAGGATTCCTCCAGATCTTTCCTCCCTAGCAGAACATTTTCATTGAAAATAACTTAGGGTTTATGGAGATGTATTGACGGTGTATAATAGTTTTATATACTCAATCAATAAAAATATTTTATTCTATCATATTATATAACTAATTTAAATTTTTTAATTTAATTTATTAAAATTAATAAAAAAATTAATTTACAGTGTAACTTTTTCTTAATAACTTAATATATAAGTACTTTTGGCTAATTTGATTTCTATTACAATCTCATATATTATTTTAAATCACGTTACAATTGCGGTCAACAAAATTGCATTGCAGCACCAATTGCAATCAACAAAATTGCATTGCAGCACCAATTGCAATTATGGATGACAATTTAAAAACGCATTGAATAGGTGTTTTTAGTTTTCATCATTTATTATGTGTATACCCATCTCATTCAACCTGGGCCTAAAAAAGTTGTCCCAAAAAGACGAATAAATGTAGGGTAAATCTCAATTGGATGCCTTTCATTTTCGAGATTTTATCGTGTTATACCCACAATTTGAATTTTTTTAATAAAAATGCATTGATTTATGGTAAATGTTTGAAGAAATTAATACTAGATTTTTTGAAATGTTTTGTAGCTTTCTAGATTTTTAAAAACTGTTGGTAGTTCATATTTGACAGACAATATTTTTTAACATTGTCAGATTTTTTCAAAAAAATGAATAAACTACAACACTTTTTAAA